ATAACACCAAATTTAACACACCTGCTCCCCATTCACACCTGAGACCTTGTAACACTAATGAGTCACATGACACCGGGGAGAGAAAATGGCTAATTGGGCCCAATTTGGACATTTTCACTTAGGGGTGTACTCACTTTTGTGGCCTGCAGTTTAGACATTAATGGCTGTGTGTTGAGTTATTTTGAGGGGACACCAAATGTACACTGTTATACAAGCTGTACACTCACTACTTTACATTGTAGCAAAGTGTAATTTCTTCAGTGTTGTCACAAGAAAAGATATAATAAAATATTTACAAAAGTGTGAGGGGTATACTCACTTTTGTGAGATACTGTGTATATATATATATATATATATATATATATATATATATATATACATATATATAATATGTGTGTGTATGTATATATGCAGTAAAAACTTCCCTGTGGAGACATTCTCAATTGGTAAATCAATGCATAAATAAAGCAAATACTAAAATAAATATATATTTAGAAATTCAAAAAAGTTTCTTTTAGGGCTTTGAATTAGTCATTAATTTTTGTCTGTAGTCTCCGATAAGATATTGATCAACCTGTACTTCTGTCCTTCACATACCCCATACATTCCCTACTGCCTAAAAAGTCTATGTAAGAAGCAGCTCAGTTGCAAACGTGATGGTGTATATGATTAGTAATGCACTAATACGCAGAGTCATAAAGATTGCAGCTGTCTGTGCTATAAGCTGTCATATGCGTCAGTAGCTATGTTTCCATCACCCTGTTTTTATGTGCATTTTGAAGTATTGCATCAAGACTGGCAAGAGTAGCTTCCAAATCCTCAGTACTCATCTTGCTGGATCTGTCTACTGCTTTTGACACAGTTAACCACCAGATCCTCCTGTCCACCCTCAGAAAGATGGGCATCTCGGGAACCGCACTCCTGTGGTTCAAGTCTTACCGCTCAGGTAGGTCCTTCAGGGTGTTTTGGAGGGGTGAGGTATGTAAGTCACAAATTCTTGCTGCTGGGATTCCTCAAGGCTCAGTGCTTGGACCACTTCTCTTCTCCATCTACATGTCGTCATTAGGATCTGTCATTCAGAAGCATGGCTTTTCTTATCACTGCTATGCTGATGACACTCAACTCTACTTCTCATTCCAACCAGATGATCCGACGGTAGCTGCTCACATTGCAGCCTGTCTGAGAGACATTTCTAGCTGGGTGAAGGACCATCACCTTCAGCTCAACCTTACTTGCTTTGTCACAATCTGTATTGTTAAAAGCGCTATATAAATAAAGGTGACTTGAATTGACTTGACTAAGACAGAACTGCTTGTGGTTCCAGCCAACCCATCGTTTCATCACAGCTGCTCTATACAGCTGGGTTCATCAACCGTTGACATAATTGCAAAGATATTATTTAAACTGAGCTGGATGTTGATATCACTGAATTCAATGATGAACTGTCTTTAACTGAAAAATGTGTTTACTATTGTCATTTTGCATTATTGACACTATTTTCCTAATTAATGCTGTTCAGTTGCTTTGTCACAATCTGTATTGTTAAAAGCGCTATATAAATAAAGGTGACTTGACTTGACTTGACTAAGACAGAACTGCTTGTGGTTCCAGCCAACCCATCATTTCATCACAGCTGCTCTATACAGCTGGGTTCATCAACCATAACTCCTTCCAGGACAGCCAGCAACCTAGGAGTCGTGATCGATCATCAGTTAAGCTTCACAGACCATCTTGGTACAACGGCCCGGTTCTGCCGACTTGCCTTATACAACATTAGGAAGATTAGACCCTTCCTGTCAGAGCAAGCCACACAACTTCTTGTCCAAGCTCTTGTTCTCTCCAGACTGAACTATTGTAATGCTCTTTGTAATGCGCCTTGTGGTGCCATCCCAAAGAGGCACAAAATCACTCTCATGGACCTTTCCCTGGGCTGTGCCCAGATGGTGGAATGACCTCCCGATCTCAATTCGAACAGCTGAGTCTTTAGCCATTTTCAAAAAACATCTAAAGACACATCGTTTTCGCCAGCACTTGACCAACTAATACTAGCACTTACCTATTCTGTTCCATTCTATTATTTAAAAAATAAATAAATAAAAATCTAGCTTTGTGTACTGTGCTAGACTAACTGAGACTTGTCATGGCTCTTGTATACTGTTGTTGTTCTCTCGTTGGTCTGATTGCTTCTATTGTTCTCATTTGTAAGTCGCTTTGGATAAAAGCGTCTGCTTAATGATTAAATGTAAATGTAAAAAAAAAATCCCTGAATTCGCAACAAAAGTTTTTATGCTCGCTTGAGGTGTTTTTTGACTTGTGTGAAAAAGGGTTAATGCGAATAATGGGAGATGGAAACATATTTTCCGAATAAATTCCTCCATGAGCATCAAAAAAGTAATGTGACTTTGCGCTATGGGATGGCATAACCTGACTAACCAGCGGACCGATCTTGTTGCACAGCATCTGAAATGTTTTTATGGTCATTCTTAAATGCCCAAGCTAAGTCTGTCGACAAAATATTTATGTATAATTGCCTCCCAGAACTACCTTGCACGACTGCATTCCCAAACAGCAGATATCGACTTCCGGAAGCAATGACTGCATTTATTGTGTTTTGTCTGGCGCAAGTAATTTATTATGAAAATGATTATATTCAGTGGCTTCTCCTACTTTTCTTAGTGATATTTAGTGCCAGTTTATCAGGGAGTGACCGTTTTGTTCTCTTTGACTCGTTGGATGGAAACAGTGCTTATGCGCAAATGTTTTATGTGATATTCCAATATTGTGCATAAGTTAAATTCACACCTTTGGATGGAAACCCAGCTAGTGTCTTACACCCACCTGTGAGAGAGAGACAGACTGAGAGAGAATCACAGGGGGTGGTGTCTTGCTGACAGGTAGGCATGGGTAGAAAAAGCGAGCGAACGGATATATAGAGAAAGAGGGGGAAGATTCCTATTGCTTATTTCTAGAAGCTTAGATCCAGCAGAACAGAGAAAGGACGTGGTGTCTCTCTCCCTTCTTTAGCACACATACCTGCTGGTATTGTTCGTCCCCGTCAGTGCTGCAACAAAAGGTGGACATATGCTTTATCTTTAGTTCTTCCTCTCTCACACCTCTTTGATCACTCTATTTCTTAGTCTGTTTTTTTTGTTTGTTGGTGCATTGTATGCCATATCAACAAATACTGTGTGTTTAATATTCCGCGATGGGGTTGTATACAGGTGACAGAATCAATTCCAAATTACTGAGGCTCTCAATAACGCACAGCCCCGTTCACAAGGAGAAAAGATGATTAATGATGATAGTAGGGCTGTGCAAAAAAATCGAATGCGATTTTCATGCGCATCTCGTCAGTAAAGCCGCTCCTGTGATTAGTAGTAAATCTCCGTTCAGATGGAGTGGCAT